CCTCGGCCCAACTGTATCACGGCGTTCACGCTGCGAGAACCGTTGCCTCTGTCCAGAGGCACTTGGTTTTCGGCGACACCAGCTTGCAAGCATGCCTGCGTATTTGGCATGTAGTTCATGTTCTCTGTAATTCCTGCGTTCCCGCGGCGCCCCACGCAACGCTGCCCGTCCTCGCACCCTGGCTGCTGGCAACAAGCAGCTGCTATGGTCTCACGGTTCTCATGCGCGCATGTCCGCCGCCGTTCGGGGTCTCAAGGCGCGCCATCCACCCCACCACCGATTTCTTTTTCTTCAATTTTGCTCCTTGGCATAGATAGTGTGTTCTGTCCGCCCTGCGTTTCCGCGGTGTCCCGCGCCGCCCAGTGCAGCCCGTCTTCACACCTTCATTGTTAACATTATCCCAGTGCGACACTACCTAGGATTTGGAGCCTCGAGGAAAGCAACATTAGTAGGAGCGCCATGCTATGCTGTGCTGTGCAATGCTGTGCTGTTTTGCGCTGTGCTGTGCTATGCTATGCTATGTTGCACTGTGCTTTATTAGTCAATGCTATGTGTTGCTATGCTATGCTATGCTATGCTGCGCTATGCTATGCTATGATATGATATACGATGCTGAGCTATGCTATGCTACGCGATGCTATGTTATGCTTGGCTATGCTGTGATGTGTTGTGCTAGTACTGCACTGCGCTATGCTGCGCTAAGCAAAGTAACGTAATCTAAGCGATACTAAGCTAACATAGGCTAGGCTAGTCTAAGCCAAGCCACGCTAAGCTAAGCTAAGCCCAGCTAAGATGATATAGACTAAGCTAAGCAAAGTTAAGCACAGCTAGGCCAAGCTAGGCCAGGGTAGGCAACGCTAAGCCAAGCTAAGCTAAGCTAAGATGAGATAAGCTAAGTTAAGCGGGCTTAGCTTAGCTTAGCTAAGCTAGGCTGGGTGAACCCAGGGGGGCGTCACTGGGGGAACCGCGGGGCGGATCTTGGGGGAACCGCGCCGGGCGTGTCCCACTGCCCGGCCCTTTAAGTTTATAATGTAAGAACCTTTTTAGGCAGAGCCTAGGTAGGGGAAAAATGAGTTGTTATGATGCTTATTCGTATTCGCATCAGAATTTGTATTCGTATTAGTGCTGCTAATATTACCAATGTTGCTAGGTTTTGTTATTAGTGTTATTCGTGTTAGTATTGTTTCTCTTGTTTCTCTCTTCTTCGTAATATCATCGTCATCGTCACCATCATCATCGTTTGTATTGTTACTATCACTATCAGTTTTATTCGTATGATTGTTATGTTTGTTTGTCCCCCGTTTTTTTATTATTGTGCTGTTTATTATTGTTATTATTCCCCACATGTTTCGTGGGGTTCTGGTTTTCTGCTCTGCCGCGTCGCACCCGCGTCTCCTCACACACACACACACACACACACCTCCCCTCCCCCCGCCCACACAGCACAGCTCAGCACAGCTCAGCTCAGCACAGCACAGCTCAGCACAGCACAGCACAGCTCACCGCAGCACAGCGTGGCAGGAGTGGCACTTTCTCGACACCAGAGAGGGTGCGCAGGGGGTGGTCCCTCAGCGCGGTCTCTATGCGCGCCAGGGTCGGAGATCGTGGCAGGGGTGGCATTGTGCCGACACCAGAGAGGGTGCCCAGGGGGTGGCCCCTCAGCGCGGTCTCTATGCGCGCCAGGGTCGGAGAGCGTGGCAGGGGTGGCACTTTCTCGACACCAGAAAGGGTGCGCAGGGGGTGGTCCCTCAGCGCGGTCTCTATGCGCGCCAAGGTCGGAGAGCGTGGCAGGGGTGGCACTTTCTCGACACCAGAGAGGGTGCGCAGGGGGTGGTCCCTCAGCGCGGTCTCTATGCGTGCCAGGGTCGGAGAGCGTGGCAGGGGTGGCACTTTCCCGACACCAGAGAGGGTGCCCAGGGGGTGGTCCTTCAGCGCGGTCTCTATGCGCGCCGGGGCCGGAGAGCGTGGCAGGGGTGCCACTTTCCCGACACCAGAGAGGGTGCGCAGGGGGTGGTCCCTCAGCGCGGTCTCTATGCGCGCCAGGGTCGGAGAGCGTGACAGGGGTGGCATTTTGCCGATACCAGAGAGGGTGCACAGGGGGTGGTCCCTCAGCGCGGTCTCTATGCGTGCCAGGGTCGGAGGGCGTGGCAGGGTTGGCACTTTCTCGACACCAGAGAGGGTGCACAGGGGGTGGTCCCTCAGCGCGGTCTCTATGCGCGCCAGGGTCGGGGAGCGTGGCAGGGGTGGCAGTTTCTCGACACCAGAGAGGGTGCGCAGGGGGTGGTCCCTCAGCGCGGTCTGTATGCGTGCCAGGGTCGGAGAGCGTGGCAGGGGTGGCACTTTGCCGACACCAGAGAGGGCGCACAGGGGGTGGTCCCTCAGCGCGGTCTCTATGCGCGCCAGGGTCGGAGAGCGTGGCAGGGGTGGCACTTTCTCGACACCAGAGAGGGTGCGCAGGGGGTGGTCCCTCAGCGCGGTCTCTATGCGTGCCAGGGTCGGAGAGCGTGGCAGGGGTGGCACTTTCTCGACACCAGAGAGGGTGCGCAGGGGGTGGTCCCTCAGCGCGGTCTCTATGCGTGCCAGGGTCGGAGAGCGTGGCAGGGGTGGCACTTTCTCGACACCAGAGAGGGTGCGCAGGGGGTGGTCCCTCAGCGCGGTCTCTATGTGTGCCAGGGTCGGAGAGCGTGGCAGGGGTGCCACTTTCCCGACACCAGAAAGGGTGCGCAGGGGGTGGTCCCTCAGGGCGCGCCAGAGAGCGTGGCAGGGGTGGCATGCGTTGGTCCAGCGCGGTCTCTATGCGTGCCAGGGCCGGAGAGCGTGGCAGGGGTGGCACTTTGCCGACACCAGAGAGGGTGCGCAGGGGGTGGTCCCTCAGCGCGGTCTCTATGCGCGCCAGGGTCGGAGAGCGCGGCAGGGGTGGCACTGTCTCGACACCAGAGAGGGTGCGCAGGGCTGGTCCCTCAGCGCGGTCTCTATGCGTGCCAGGGTCGGAGAGCGTGCCAGGGTTGGCACTTTCTCGACACCAGAGAGGGTGCGCAGGGGGTGGTCCCTCAGCGCGGTCTGTATGCGTGCCAGGGTTGGAAAGTGTGGCACTTTCTCGACACCAGCGAAGGTGCACAGGGGGAGATCCCTCAGCGCGGCCTCTATGCGTGCCAGGGTAGGAGAGCGTGGCAGGCGTGGCAATTTCTCGACACCAGAGGGGGTGCGCACGGGGTGGTTTCTCACCGCGGTCTCTATGCGTGCCAGGGTCGGAGAGCGTGGCAGGTGCGGCACTTTCTCAGCGAGTGGTCCCTCAGCGCGGCCCCTATGCTTGCCAGATTGCATCATCACGCCGGAACTGTAGACAGCTTGGCCCGAATATGCTCGAATATTGCAGGTGCTGCCTTGCCCCCCGCGCCGCTCACGCCGCCCAAATGTCCCATTGACGCACTGCCGCCTCCGTGTGTGAAGCTGAAGGAGTCCATGACAGACGCAGCTGTCATGGACTCCTTCAGCTTCACACAGGTGATAATGACAAGCAAACACATAATATTACGCTACCGAGGCACCCCACATACTGATTTTATATCTTGTGTGAGCCGCGCTACCACTACCACCGCCGTCATGCTCTCAGGTGCCGACTTGTGGTCGTTGAAAGGAGGGGGAGGACGTGTGGGGGGAGAGGAGGGGTTGAGGAGTCATCTGTGACGGTCATATCTGGCGTCGCCTGGCACTTGGATACGAGAGGTAATACGCAATCCCGCACTAGAGGCTATGCCTGGACGACCCTGGCACGCATAGGGAGACCACTCCCTGCGCAACCCCTCTGGTGTTGAGAAAATGCCACGCCTGCAATGCCTGGACGACCCGGGCACGCATAGGGAGACCACCCCCTGCGCACCCCGTCTGGTGTCGAGAAAATGCCACGCCTCCAATGCGTGGACGACCCTGGCACGCATAGGGAGACCACCCCCTGCGCACCCCCTCTGGTGTCGAGAAAATGCCACGCCTGCAATGCCTGGACGACCCTGGCACGCATAGGGAGACCACCCCCTGCGCACCCCCTCTGGTGTCGAGAAAATGCCACGCCTGCTATGCCTGGACGACCCTGGCACGCATAGGGAGACCACCCCCTGCGCACCCCCTCTGGTGTCGAGAAACTGCCACGCCTGCTATGCCTGGACGACCCTGGCACGCATAGGGAGACCACCCCCTGCGCACCCCTGGTGTCGAGAAAATGCCACGCCTCCAATGCGTGGACGACCCTGGCACGCATAGGGAGACCACCCCCTGCGCACCCCCTCTGGTGTCGAGAAGCTGCCACGCCTGCAATGCCTGGACGACCCTGGCACGCATAGGGAGACCACCCCCTGCGCACCCCCTCTGGTGTCGAGAAGCTGCCACGCCTGCTATGCCTGGACGACCCTGGCACGCATAGGGAGACCACCCCCTGCGCACCCCCTCTGGTGCGGCGCGGCAGGGAAGAAAACCAGAACCCCACGAAGTGAGGTGAGTGTCGCGGGTGCGGCGCGGCAGGGAAGAAAACCATAACCCCACGAAGCATGTGGGGAATTAAAAATCAGCATGTGGGGTTCCTCGGTAGCGTAATTATTCCTCTCGTGTGTTCCGGCAGGCTTCCCCAACGTACGCGTACATGCCTCGGGCCATAATTCGCGACCCCCCGGCTTCGGCGCACCCAATGCTGATCCCAGCCAAGGCTGTTTCCAGAGGCTGTCTGTGCGCAGCCCCAAGCTCCAGGCATCCCAACCGGGGGGCCGAGCGGATGGGGTCCCAGGTTCGCGCCGCATCGCCGATGCATCGGGGATGCGGCTCGATCTTGAGACGGATTTTCTCCACGCCGACGGCGCCGATGCCTCGCCGACGTCGCCGAGCCCACTCGGGAGGCCTCCAGGAGCCTTGCCATCCCCCCCACGCCTCGCGGGCAAGGCGTACACGATCAGCGACAGATCCAGGGCCCAGGATCGGATCGGTGCCGCTGTACCGTAGGCGCCCTCCTGGAGGATCGTGCAGCGGCGGCGGGCCCACCACGCTCGGCAATTCGAGCGCTCCCTGGACTCGATCAGGCAGGACCGCTTGCGCAACCCGACCGGGTCCATGCGGGAGGGCTATGTCAAGGAAGAAAGATCTGCATGAACAGCAACTGGCAGAGGTCCGCGCGGATTCCTCGGATCGGCGCTGGACCCCTCAGGCAGCGATTCTGCGGCCCCTGGCGTTGCACGCTCGCCCGAGGCGGGGGCCCAGCGCCGATTCAAGAAATCCGCCTGGACCTCCGAAAGTTCACATTTGTGCCGGAGTTTCTTCCTCAACCATGGCGGCTCGTCGCCAGCGCTGTCGCGGAGCATGTCGGATGACCTCGACTTTGGGCCCAGGAATTGCTCTCTTCTGGGCCGAGGAATTGCTGATAGGTGCGACCTCAGCTTCATGTTCGAGGACCAGATGGCCCCCAGGCGTATCCGGTGCAACTTGGTGCCGCAGGCGTCGGGATGGAAGCAAGGAGGAGGAATCGATTCACGGAGGAACCGTCGACCCCAAATCACCCGCTCAATGCCGATAGAAGTTTGGTGCCCCACGACGGCCATCCGAAGCCTGTCGGCGTCGCATCGTCGATTTCATGTTGCTGTTTACTCCTCTCCTCCGAGTCCCCCGTTGCCTGCCCATCAAGGCAGAGGTGGATTCCCTCAACCAGTATTACAACTACTGGCTGACCCAGGGGCGAGCTCCCTCCTACATCGTCGCATTCATAAACCCGCACTCGGGAGACCGGAGACCCTCAACCCCTTCCCCCCTCCTTTTCTCCCTCCTCATCCTTCCTCCTCTCCCCCACATCCTGCCTCCTTGTACCTTGCATCCACGAAGATATGAACGCACTTTTTCAGATTGGCCACCTCGCGGCTCAGGCCGGCACAGCCCAAGCCGCCTCAGCGTGCTGCGCGTGCTGAGCCCCCTCGTACCCCCCTCTCTGCCTCCCCGTGCTCAGCCCGCCCTCCTCGCCCACCTGCCGTGGCCCGTGGGGTGGACGTCCCCGCCCTGCCATGCGAGGACGCCCGCGCGGCGCACCCGCACTCGTGCCTGGCCTCTGGCGGTGCGGCTGCGGCAGCCCCAGCCGCCGCGGCTGAGAGTGCGAGCGCGGACGGCGGAATCTGGGTGGAGCCGATCCTCACGTGGCACGGCATGGAGCACGGGGAGAGCCGGCCAGGGGTCCCGGAGCCTTCCCCAGAGTGCCAGCATTTCGTCCTGGTCCGTTTCCAGACAGCCCTGAGGCCCGTGGAGGCCCCAGGGAGGCCGAACTGGCGATCAAACCTCAGGACCCGTTTCCTTTCCCTCAGCACCCGCTTGCTGTATGGTTTTTTCGCCCAGGCCGCTGGCGAGCTGCCTGGGCCCCCGCGCCTCCCAGAGTTCTTCCGCCAGCAAATGCGCAAATGCTGGCGCGCCGTGCGGGGCGCCGGCGATTCTAGTAGCAAGGACGTGCCGCCTGCGGCGAGGTTCCTTTTTTTGCGGGGCGTGTCCTGGCTGCGCGTGCGACCAATGGTCAGACCGTGGTCCCACGCCCCCCGTGCACAACGCAGGAGTTCGGCCAGTTCTTGCTGGCGCTCGCGTGCGCCCCTGGAGCTGCCGAGACCTGGAGCATGCTGCGCCAGGCCTCTCTACAGGGGCCAGACATCATCTCCCTCAACGCTATTGAGATCCGCCTGCACTTTGCGATCGATGGTGCTAGTTGTCCTACCGACAAGGCCGACTCACACGCGATAGTGAAGACGATCTCCTGCGCCGCCGAGGTCTGCTTCGGTTCCTTCGACGCCTGGGCCTGGGAGAGGAAGCGCGCACGCCCATGCAGGCTGGAAGGATTTGGGCCGCCACGCTGCGAAGCTCGTGCTCGACACGGCACCACTGACGACGGAAGGTATTGGCATTGATTGGTCAAACTTCTTGGGTGCCGCTGGAGGATGGCGAACCCACATTGCGGCGCTCGTGTGGCGACTGTTGTGGCGACCGTCGCGACCGCACCTGGGCGACCTGTGGTGGCACGACCTCTTGGGCAACAATTTCGCGCCCAAGAGGTCCGACAATGCCGCTTGTCGCTGGCAAGTAGCCGGGCACGACCCGCAAGGTTGAACGCGCAACCGCTGGAGTACATCTCCCCAGGGGGCCCCTCCGACTTCCCGTTGAAGACTAATTATCGCCCCCACCAGAAAAACCGTCGATTCTTTGAGAGACTTTGCGGCATCCGCCTGAATACCCGGGGCGTACGGACGCTGGTCAGGGAATTTTGACCACGTTGGCATGACCGCTTGTCCAGGTTTGCGCGCTTGGCGTTTTCCGCCCGCTTTCCCGCTTCTTCTCCTGCTCCCCCTCTCTCCTCTCTCCTGCCATGGTGAATGTATTGCCTGACTGTCGAGGCCGTTCAATACGGGTCTGACCAACAGCAGTTTGGCAGGCCAGGAGATAATACGACTTGGGGTTAATTCGTATCCTTCGCCCTTTGCACAACTAGTCTTACCGAAGTTGTTCTCCTGTTGCACACATCCTCGGCGGCGCGCTTCGAGAGGAACCGCGGGCATCAGGCTTGTTTAGCGCTGTCGTGTGTAAGGGGCAATTTGCAGTGACACTGCGAACCCTTTTCACTGTGTTGGCTGAGGCGTGATGACACGTGATGGGGCGGCGATCCATGGAACAAATTATTTGAGCGGTTTTCGCTTGGAAAGGGAAGTCTGGTCTCGGCCGCGCGTGGCAATCGCGGCACGCTCCACCCGCGACCGCGTGAGATCGCCGCCAGCGCCCTGCCTATTTCGAGGCCTTTTTCGCCGCCCATGCGGCACCGACGGAATGGGACCGCAGCGCCGCCACCTGCCAGGCCCGCCCCGCTCCTTTCATAAAGGAGAAGTTTGGGTTCGACGACAAGGTCAAAGGCCAATGCGACGCCGACAAAGACCCGCCAATCAACGCTCTCAGTCTTGAAAGCACTTGCAAAAGGGCTCGCTTCAGCGCGCGATATCGGAGGTTCACCGCGCGTTCACGGCGTGGCGTTCTCTGCGGACCAAATTGGCCGACATCGGCATTCGCGCGCGCGGTCTCTCTTGCCTAGGAAGGCAGAGTTTGCATCTTCGGCTTTGCGGCGGGCTTCTTCTCGAGCGGCCGCGCTTTCGTCGCGGAGTTCTCGGAGTGGATCGGCGCGCCGTCGGCCGCGCCCCACTTTGTCACGGCGCCGTGCCGGGGCGACGTTCGCCAGACGCGCATCGTTACCCGCCAGTTCCAGGAATTCGATTCGACGACCAGACCAGCTTTGCCAGGGCTGTCCGCTCGCCTGTGCCATCGCGGCGGATGTTTGCCCGCGTCGTTCGAGACGTCTCGTCGCCGCCTCCACCCGGCGGACCTTCGCCGACGACCTGGCCCCAGTCGCGCGGCAGCTCCTTCGCGACCTTCCCGCGCCATCGGGCCTCGCTCACGAGCGCGCTCTCGCCTCGCGCTCGAAGCTAGATGGGCCCGGGCGCGACGGCGGCGGCGCCGCCGCTATGGCAAATCGACGCGGCCGAGCTGCGGGGCTGGACCGCGGCGCTAGCGCCGCGTTGCTGAGCCGCGGAAATCGCTTGTTCCACAAGAGATCTCTGCGCCCTGGGTTGGTCCCGACAGCGGGGGTCGGTCCCGGCGCAACCCGCTCGAGGAAGTCGACGAGAGGGCCGACCTCTGGATCGAGGTGGTATGCGGGGACAGCCCGCGGCGCTGGAGGCCCGCGCCCGCCTGCTCTCGGTGAGCGGATTCGCCGTTTTATTGCTACCAGCCCTTGATATGTGGCCCGCCCTTGAGCGCGCCGCGATCGCCGAGGTCTTCTCTGACCTCCCAGCCGGGTTATCGGCTCCTGCCCTGCGCGGCCCGAACTATTTGGTTTCGGTGGCAATTTCAAGTATCCGGATCTGCCATTTGCCCTCGTCGCCGCCCGTCCTCTGGGGGGGGTCGGTCTGGCGGCTACGCTGTCGGCGTCGCCGCGTCGTCGCCGCTCCAGGTCTGGGCCCAGTTGTCGGTCTGGCGGCGTGCGGATGTTTAAGAAAACCATTGGTTTCCCAACCTTATCATCAGATCCTGCCAAACGGGCCTCTCGCGCCGCATGTCGCGCGCGTGTTCGGGGGGGCGCGAGCCGGTCAAATCCTGCCACGCAGGCCTCTCGCACGCGTCGGCCGCGCGCATGTCGAACCCCATCCAAAACCTTCACCGTCGACGCGAGGACGCCGTCATCGTCGTCGGCGTGATCAGCATCGGCGCCGTCACGTTGGGAAGTGCCCAGCGGTCAGCACCACCACGGCCGCGTCGGTCGCGCCAAACTAGCTGGCCGCTGTGCGCGCGAGCATGCGCGGGCTAGCGCGTCCGCAGAGATGCACCAGCCAACGCCAAGCACTCATCGCAATAACGTGTTTCTGTTTTGCTTTGGCCATACCGTGCGTTATAGCCTCTCCGCCCACCCCCATAACGTAACGCTCCGGCCCCCACTGCGCCCCCAGCACTGCCGCCGCATGCTTAGGGATCCGCATAACACAGAAATCCGCATGGGGATCGCATAGATATATCCATCGGGATCCGCATTTGGATCCCCAGGGGTTCTTATTGAGATCCGCATGGGGATCTGAATAGGGATCCGCGTAAGGATCTGGGTGGGGATCCGCATAGGGATCCCCAGAGGCACCCGAATACGGATCCGCATCGGGATACGCATATGGCTAATCGCATAGGCATCAACATAGGCATCCGCATAGGGATCCGCATAGGCATCCGTAGTGGGATGCGCAGAGGGCTCCCCATAGGGGTCCTCATAGGAATGTGCATAGAAATCTGCATAAGGGGCGGTGGTCGCGGGCAAGATCCCGTGCTCGCAGGCACTTGCGGTGTTCGCAGGAGAGAGAGAGAGAGAGAGAGAGAGAGAGAGAGAGAGCAGTAGGAGGAGAAGGACGACGACCACAACAACGACGACGACGACGATGGAGGAGGGAGGTAAGGAGCATACCTCTTATTCGCCACGTGGAGACAACGACGCCTTCGCAGGCATGTGCTCGCCGTTCGTCGTCGTCGTCGTCGCTTTTCGTTGTCGGTCGTCGTCGCTCGTCGTCGTCGTCGTCGTCGTGGTCGTCATTTTCGCCGTCGTCGTTGTTGTCGGTCGTCATCGCTCGCGGTCGCTCGTCGTTGTCAACCGCTTTCGAATAAACGCTTTCGCGGGTTTCTGCAGGCCTTCGGATGACCTCTGGAAGACCTCTGTCGGTTTCCAGGGGTCTTACGAGGCCGTCGGTGACCTCGGGGAACCTCCGGAGACCTCCAGAGGCGTCGCTCGTTGTCGTCTCCGTCGTCGTCGTCGTCGTCGTCGTCATCA